CATATTTTAAGGGCACCGTAAATGTTTGTGTTGAAAAAATTGCCTATTTACTACGTTTAAGCAGATGGGTTTCAACGTGGCAGATAGAATTTTCATCATCCAAGTTTAGTTTGATGTCTTTTGGTCCTACCGAACTTCCTGGTCCCAAAAATTTTCAGAATAACCCACTCTCGGAATATCTCACCATAAAGGACCAAGGCTTAAGTTTTACAAATAAGCTATCTTTATCACCTCATGCAGATAGAATCTCTGCCAATGCCGTGCAGATATGTGGATTCATATCGCATTATTTTTTCGCCCGGAAATGAAGCGAAGACTTTATCAAATGTTTGTTCTTTCTGTCCTCGAGTACTGCTGTCCTTTCTTCGGTATAATGAACGCCTGTGACCATAATAAAATAAAAATGTTCAAGGGTTTTTCACTCTTCTCTCAAGCTTCATCCGGGCTTTATTATACTCAGAGATGCCAGCTGAGGAACATTAAGTTTTTGTGGATTAGAAGACACGAAGCTGGCCTTTATTCCCTTTTTCGCATTAACTAGAGCTTCAATCCTCCACGCATTGACACTTCCACTGGTAACTTCTCCGTGGTGATTCAGTCATCCCTTTGCACTACATCCAAACGCTCCCCTGTTTGCATCCAAATGTGCCTTCCTTTGGAATAATCTTCCACCAGAACTTAGGTCATCGCCTTAGTTATCGACATTCAAATCAAAATTATGTAAGCACCATACACCGGAGAGGGTAAAGTTGCTTTTGACCGTTTCATTCGCAAACACTCAGCTTCAGGACTTGTAGAATGGTCCTCCTGGAATTTACTGGTAGATCAAGTGAAAACCCCCACTTACACATTTGCAACCCTCTGTTTTGAATTGGCTGCTAAATTTACATGTTAGTATTCCTCCCCATAGCGAAGATTTTCGCGGTTCCTCGTGTCATCTTCTCGTTTTTGCCCTCAAGCGGCCTGTCGACACTCACGGCGGAATCCTCCGTTTTCGCCGTCTGCTAGTAGTTTGGTCAGTCATATCCCCTATGCCGTCTCCTCGGCTGGACTCGAAGCGGACTGTGACCGATCGCGTCTGGATTCCTCTCGTCTTGCCACTTTGACCCGAATTGCTTCATCCGGTGTATGAATTCTGCCCTGACAATGACCGTTAAGAATTCGTTATATACTATCACGTGCAGACCGGTCCTGCCGGCATTCTTATACTTTCATGAGCGACGGTTTTTTTCTCTTTTAAAGTTAATACAATCACATTGATTTTGTTTATTGGAAAAAGGAGTTATTCTACTGCTCAGTAAGCATTTTTCTCATCAGACTGCTCATTCAATAAGCATGAACTGAATACTGTGCAGAGTCTGTTTACTTGTTCTAAAACTCCTATGAAAGTTTATTTTAACTTGCTGTGATAGGAACCCCAAGGATCATAAATAAAACAATTTTTATGTTTATTTATTTATATCGGATAAGGGTCGTCAACCTATTGGCAAAGTGGCATAATGTTTTGGAATAATGACGCCGTCGGTTTAACAATCTGTCGATGCGATGAGTTGGTTAAAACAGGTTCTGTAATTGGTCAAAACAACACTTAAAATTACGCGAAATCGGAGAGGCTGGCGTAGACGGCCGTGTCCATTTAGTCATCTCCAAAGTATCTGAGGGCGACACGACACCGTTCTAAAAGTGGCATCCCATCTGGGTGAAACCATAAACGGCGCAACCAACGGCCAGGGTTTTTCTTCCCATTATAAGGGGTAAAGGATGGCTAAATGACACTGCACCATAACGAAATTGTTTGCTGTGAAACGGCGACGTTCATGTATTTGGCTGCCACCACTCTATTGTTGGGGCTGAAGTTAAGGGTTCTAGTGCCTTCTAAAGGTAGGTTACCAGGCACTTAGCATGCGCTTTAGGTGACATAATCCATTTTACGAAGGACGCCTATTCCAAATGGGACTTCGTACAAATCAGTTAACCATGAAGTAATACGCTATACATCCACGTTTGATGTTACAGTTGCAACTCCCCACGTGCGCCCGCCTAATTTCAGATGCAGTGTCCTTAAAAAACAGTCAACTGTAGTGTCCATTCCGCCCATTTACAGGGAAACAGACAGGCTGTGGATTCTTCACTCGAATGCTATAATAGCGGAAGCTTAATCGACGAACCCACGGCATACCTGCTTCTCCGTTTATCCTGCGCCGCCATCGTTCAGCCCCATCGATAGCAGTAAGGATGTCGGGTGTTGGTTACAGCGACGGTGTTTTCACCTGGATGACATTCAACTGAGTGACCGCTGTCGGATAGTGCTGAAATATTTGGCTGAAGGTCGGGTGTATAAGACTTTAGACGCTGGCGCCGCGCGCAACGCGCCTTCACATGAGCTCTGCGACCAACTGCAACGCCTTATCCATCCACCGCTTTCTATCAAGGAGGCGATCGATTAACTCCTCAACCGCCAACGAGACAATAAAACAACTAAAAAACTTGCCGAAAATTTACTACGTCTTACTTGTGCTGCATAACAATCACCGGCCGCGCATGATCGAACAGGGGGATGATGTACCATTCTAAGCGGTGACTCGGTTCCGAGGAAATGGCCTATGCTTTGCAAATCTAGCCACCCGGCGAACTGGGCAGGGGTTTAGGGGTGTCAGCGGTGGGTTCACGTGATGGTCGTGGTGGTTGCTCACTTGCTTGCAGATGAGACTACGCCTAGCGTTCACTTGCAGGCCCTCAACTCTCACCTGTGGCTCCACGTAGCTAGGCTCTGCTCAGCGGCCACACCCCGGGCAACCGTCTCGACCGGCGGGCTAAATCAGGTGAGGGGGCCCTGTGCGCTGTGCCCTGTGCACAGGGTTTGCGGATTCCGCTGGATGGAAGGTCGGATGAACCTTGCGTCGGCACCGTCGTGACGTGGTTCGTCTCTGCACGCCGCTGGACAGCCGGTGACGAGATGGATCTCCACATCGACATCGCCTTGACGCGCCCACCTACGCCGACGGAGACCGCGGCTTATGGCAAATTCGAGTCGCTCTCCACTACAACCCCAAGTCGTGGCCACATAGTGGAGTTCGGCCGTGCCAAAACGGCGCATGGCAGCCCTATTCAGGGATGGCTCTGCCAGCCCCCACGAGGGGAAGGGCCTAGAAAAGGTGGCCTAAACGTTGCTGGACACCACGCCGTCTTCAGCCTATCCTGGGCCGCAGACGTCTAAACATGGCGAAACAATCAAAATCGAAACAACAACATACCAATAACAACAACAACCATACTCATTCTCCTCATCCTACCTCTTCTACCTCTTCCTCTGCCTATTCTTCTACCTATTCTCCTCCTTCGTCACCCTCTTCTCCACCTCCTTCCCGTCGCCCCACTCGTCGTCACCAGACTGGCAGGGTGAGCCCGCTCACTCTGGCAGCCTGGAATGTTCGTTCCCTTTTAGACAATCCGAGGAGCAACCGACCGGAACGAAGGACGGCGCTAGTGGCACGAGAACTGGCGCGCTACAAGGTGGACATCGCCGCACTCAGCGAGACCCGATTCTCCGAACAAGGCCAAAGGGAGGAGGTGGGTGCCGGCTACACCTTCTTCTGGAGCGGTCGACCCAGCGCAGAGCGACGGGACGTGGGTGTCGCCTTCGCCATTCGGAACGACATCGTGGGACGACTGCTCTGTTTGCCGCAGGGCATCAACGATCGCCTGATGAGCCTCCGTCTGCCTCTCCGGCGAGGTGGAGGCAAATTCGCCACCATCATCAGCGCCTACGCTCCGACGATGACCAACCCCGACGCCGTCAGAGACAAATTCTACGAGGACCTGCACGCCCTCTTGGCGACTGTGTCGAAGGCGGACAAGTTGATTGTCCTTGATGACTTCAACGCCCGCGTCGGCACAGACCATACTGCCTGGAGAGGAGTGCTGGGTCCCCACGGTCTCCGCGGCTCAAACGACAATGGTCTGCTGCTTCTCCGCACCTGCGCAGAACACCGCCTCATCCTGACGAACACCTTCTTCTGTCTGCCGGAGCGAGAGAAGGCCACCTGGAGGCATCCTCGGTCGCGCCAGTGGCACCTGCTGGACTATGTCCTCGTCCGGAGGCGAGATCAGCGGGACGTGCTGGTGACAAAGGCGATCGCGGGCGCTGACGGGTGGACCGACCATCGCCTCGTCATCTCGAAGATGCGTATTCGCCTACAGTCTCGCAGGAGACCACAAGATAATCGACCCCCAGGTAAGCTGAATGTTGCCTTGTTGTCTTTGCCCGCTCACCATCTCCATTTCAGCAATGAGCTAGCTCAAAGGTTAGACAACCTTCCTATCGTTGCCGATGCCGCTGCTGCCGAGAACGCCTCCGTGGAGAACCGCTGGTGTCAACTGCGAGACACGGTCCAGTCGACGGCGCTCGCCGTCCTCGGTCGCGCTCCCCGCCAACACCAGGACTGGTTCGACGACAACGACGCCGCCATCAGAAATTTGCTAGCTGAGAAGAACCGTCCATACAAAGCCTCCGTAGATCATCCCATTGAAGACAACAAAACTGCCTTCTGCCGCAGTCGCCGCCAACTTCAGCAACGACTGCGCGAGATGCAGGACGCCTGGGCTGCTCGTAAAGCTGAGGAGATCCAAGGATACGCGGACCACAACGAATGGAAGAACTTCTTCTCTGCGATCAAAGCTGTCTACGGTCCGCCGACGAAGGGCACCGCTCCTCTCCTCAGCGCCGACGACAAAACTCTCCTGACTGAGAAGACGCAAATCCTACATCGATGGGCCGAGCATTTTCGAGGCGTCCTCAACCGCCCCTCCGTCATCTCCGACGCCGCCATCGAGCGTTTGCCGCAAGTGGAGACCAACGTGGACCTCGACCTCCCGCCATCTCTCCAGGAGACCATCAGGGTCGTGTAGCAGCTCTCCTGCGGGAAAGCACTCGGATCGGACGCAATCCCTGCTAAGGTCTACAAGCACGGAGGTTCCCAACTCATGCGCTCTTCCAGGAGATGTGGCGTCAAGGCGAAGTCCCGCAAGATTTCAAGGACGCAACTATCGGGCATCTCTACAAGCGCAAAGGGAACCGCCAAGTCTGCGACAATCATCGTGGCATCTCCTTGCTGAACATCGCCGGGAAGATCTTCGCTCGCAACCTTCTCAATCGCCTCAATAATCATCTGGAACAGGGCCTTCTGCCGGAAAGCCAATGCGGCTTCCGTCGTCATCGTGGGACCACGGATATGATCTTCGCCGCCCGTCAACTTCAGGAGAAGTGTCAGGAGATGCGGACCCACCTGTACTCTATCTTCGTGGACCTGACGAAAGCCTTCGACACGGTGAATCGTGAAGGACTGTGGAAGATCATGCAGAAATTCGGCTGTCCGGAGCGATTCACTCAGATGGTGCGTCAGCTGCTCGACGGTATGATGGCGCGAGTCACGGACAACGGAACTGTCTCAGAGGCATTCGCAGTGACCAATGGAGTGAAGCAGGGCTGCGTACTGGCGCCTACACTCTTCAGTCTCATGTTCTCTGCCATGCTCATGGACGCCTACCGCGACGAACGCCCCGGGATCCGCATCGCCTACAGGATGGACGGTCATCTCCTGAATCAACGGCGGATGCACTTCCAATCGCGCATATCCACAACCACCGTTCACGAACTCCTCTTCGCCGACGACTGAGCCCTGAACACCACCTCGGAAGAGGAGATGCAACGGAGCATGGACCTTTTCTCCGCCGCCTGCGAGAACTTCGGTCTGGTCATTAACACGCAGAAGACGGTGGTGATGCACCAACCGCCACCCAACTCAGCCACAGCCCCCAACGCGTCGCCGCAAATCAGCGTAAACGGAACCCAACTGCAAGTGGTGGAGAACTTCCCGTACCTGGACAGTACTCTCTCCCGCAACACCAAGATCGACGACGAAGTCGCCAACAGGATCTTGAGAGCCAGCCAAGCCTTCGGTCGTCTCCAAAGCACAGTTTGGAATCGTCACGGTCTTCAACTGGACACGAAGCTGGGGATGTACAAGGCTGTCATCCTGCCGACGCTACTGTATGGAGCAGAGACCTAGACGGTGTACACGAGGCAGGTACGCCGTCTGAACCACTTCCATCTCAGTTGTCTTCGTCGCATCCTGAGGCTGAACTGACAGGATCGAATCCCCGACATGAGGTGCTGGAACGGACGGGAATCCTCAGCATCTACGCCATACTGAGACAAATGCAGCTGCGCTGGAGCGGCCACCTGGTGCGCATGGACGACGAGTGACTACCCAAACGACTCTTCTACGGAGACGTCGCGACGGGTTCTCGCCGTCAAGGAGGCCAGATTCGCCGTTACAAGGATACCCTGAAGTCCTCCCTGAAACGCCTGCAAATCAACCCCACCAACTGGGAGGAGCTCGCACTCGATCGACCGACCTGGAGGAGGACAGTGAAGACAGGCGCTGCGATCTACGAAGCCAACCGCATCGCTGCCGCCAAAGCGAAACGCGAAGCCCGCAAATCACAACTTCGCCCAGTACGCAACGCCGCCGCACAACCGCTTCCAACGTGTCCTCGATGTCAACGGACATTCCGGGCTCTAATTGGACTTGTTGGACATCTTCGGATTAACTGCGCCTCTCGAACTGCACCAACCATCGTCCCCCCGCCTGCCTCTTCCTCCTCCTCTCCGCCGCCAACTAACTCTGACAATTCTTCTGACCCACCACTTCCATCATCATCCTCCTCCTCCTCCTCCTCGCCCACTGCTCCAAAGACGGCCGCTCAGGCGACTGTCACGCGCGCAACAACCGACATCACCACCACCACCACCTCCCCCGACTCCAGGGATGAGGATCGGGACTACACCTGCCCTCACTGCGACCGCACCTTCACCTCACACATCGGCCTAGTCGGTGACTTGCGAATCCATCGCACAGAGACTGGCGAACCAGTGCCTGAAGCACCAACCTACACCCGCCGCACTCGCCTCCACTGACCACACTGCCCTCGCACCTTCAGGCATCGCATGGGCCATTTCGGCCACATGCGCATCCACGAGAGCGGCCTTGACCGCACTCCCGACACACCCACCACATCCAACACATCCACCGTGCACACCCCCACTCTCGATCCATCCGTCCGCGCCACCACCACCACCTCCTCCTCTGTAGCTGACACTGACACCGCCGACTTCTCATGCCCACACTGTCCACGCACATTCACCTCACGCATCGGCCTGGTCGGTCACTTGCGAATCCATCGCACAGAGACTGGCGAACCAGTGCCTGGAGCACCGACCCATACCCACGAAGCTCGTCTCAACTGCCCACACTGTCCTCGCACTTTCAGGCATCGCATGGGCCTATTCGGCCACATGCGCATCCACGACGACCTGCGGTAGACAGCCGCTGGTCACACCACACATTCACTCACTCCATACCTCCTCCTCCACCACCATCATCCCACCAGAAATCAACACTCGCACACCTCATGCACCCAACTGCCACCTCCCACGCAAGTGGAAAGTCCGCATCTCGACTCGGTCCCCATGCGACTTCGGCTGCTCGGGTGACTTGAATCCGAAACTATCCCGACACGTCAAGCGTCGTGGATAGGAAGGTTACTGATTGACGCCCGCTCTCGGTTCACGCAGTTCGTCGCGTTGTGTGTGTGTGTTGTGTGGAGTGGCGGACTGGTGGGCTGGGGATGGGCTGAAGCTGCACCTTCCACGGCACTCTCACGCAAGTGAGAGACACGCCGTTCAACCCCCGTTGTGTGAAATCCTGGTGTTATGTGTATGGGAGGCCAGGTCGTGCCGTGGCGCGCGCAGTCATGGTCAGTCGACCATGACAGCCACCGCGCCCATTTCCCACTCCAGTCTGCTGACCGGCTCGGACAGCGGCTGGGGTGTGGGAGTGGGAAGGGAGAGTGAGGTCGACGACTCAGCGCTCTTTCTCCTCACTATAAACAATCTGACGCGCTTGAAGCTATCACGGTGCGCTAAAAGCCGTGGCTTGGAAGGTTGCCAACTGACGGGGTATCTTGGACCTCCTCCTTGACTGGAGGCGGTCTGAGAGTCAGGCTGCAATGGCTCCTTTTTAATGTGGCCTTTATGGCACGCCCATCACAGTGTGGGATCCGAGCCAGGCGTTGGCGGCACGCCCAGGTGCGGCTTCGGCCGTGCCAGCCTCCAAATCTCTGTTGTGATTGGCTGAAATCCTGGTTATTTTTTGTGTGGACCAGAGGGTGTGGTGGAACGCCAACGCGAGGATCCGTCCGAGCCACCCACCTGCGGCCTCGACCGTCTCCGGTCTTCTTGACTTGTTCTTGACACCGGGCTCAGGCGGGGGAGGAGGAGAGAGTGTAGGTAGATGTAACGCAAGTCTGCCGGCACTATAAACCCCTGCGTAAGTCACCGTCCCTGCTCCCATTGTTGCTGCAACTGTGGGGCACACGGTGGACATCATCGAAACCGATAGTCAAACTGTCATGTGGACCATTTCACAAATTGGTCATAGGATGTCCCCTTACGCCGGCAAGTTACGGCTTCTGTCACCAGTGCGTTGCCCGACGAATGGATCTGCCTGTGCGGAGTCCTTATCTCCCTAAATTATTACTGTGAGGCTAACTCCGACAGCGGTCTCTTAAACAACACTCACTACATGCTCATCCGCAATACCCAGACGACATCAGAACACTCGGTGGGCAGTAGGCAAGTAGAACGAACTAACCACACTACAGTCAGCTTCAGCCGAGAACCACCATCCACATGCATTGAACGTTTGGTTACCGTTCTCTTTGATGGCCTACCGGGCCACCACCTTTTGGTCCAGGGGTTATGTCTCATTCTTCATACGGACTGACCGCCCCTTCCGCCTACCCCGTGACGTTCATCTTTCTGTGCAGTCCGCGTACACCTGCACAGCCGTGGTGCAGCTCCAGGCAAGTGGAGTACTTTGGCAGACGCACGCATGGCCTTCCCTACCAATGTGATGACCTCGTGCTACGCTATCCGGCGGTCCAACCCGATGGCGTTTCGGCCAAATCCTTCCATTCTTCGTTTTCGTGGACGCCATTCCGTCTCCCACATACATCATTTGTGACGCTCACACCCGCGAAGGTCCCATTTTCACGGTGCGCTGCCCTACATGGGCAGCCCTCTCCCCTGACAACCTGCCCATTTCGCCTCTCACCTAGTGAAACAACCCACAGATGGAATGCAAATTTCTACCGACCCCGCAGTCCCTGTGGTCAGGGCACCGTCTAACGTGGGGCGATTGCAGCAAGCGGATATGAGGAAAGACCAAGCTTTTGTTCAAGTACTTAAAGGCGGACTCTTGGGTGGTGGCGAGGATTTTGGCGGGACTGTTTTTTTCTTTTTCTACTACGAGTGTATAAAGACTCAGCCTCCCTTCCCTGGCTGACAGTTCCAAGCCCCACGGTTCCCGAACAGTCGTAAAATTCATGTTACTTCCGACAGACCCACCCTACGAGCAGTTGTGTGTGAAAGAAAATCGAACGTGTTTTCTGTAATAAACTGTCTATAGTTCTGACTACTCGCCTTATTGTATGCCTGGATTGTCAATGATTATAAGCATCGACAAAGTGGATATGCGTACCCCCAACAATAATTAAGGTGAGCCGCGAGGCCGTATGGTTGACTCGATTCCTAGTGCCGACTCAGGCGAAGTAGCACTAACTAGATTCCCGAAGAGCGCGGCTGATACGACGCTGGTTTTTTAATAAAAGGTTGTATTTCGGTTGCTTTATATTCTACCTATCTGTTTTTCTACTTCTTTATTCTTCTTCCAGTTGACATGTATCACTCAAGTACCCTTTTACCCTCGAACTGCGGATGTCGTTCTGTTAGTACATGGTTTGACGCGATACATCTAGCAGTCCACTATCGTGACCGGCGTCAGATGGTTCATTGACTAGCGCGTTTGACTATGCGCGCCGATCCGCTGTTCGGTAACGGGACCAGACAAGCGAAGTGTACTACGGAGTATCTGGATGTATCTAATGACTTCCACCTAAGGGGACAGTGTCTCAGGAAGCTTTGAGTGTTCTGCAAGCCAATCGCGAAATTTAACCGTCTAGCTCTACCTATCCGTTTGCCAGTGCATTGTTATCGGCACGTATGCGTGCTCTTTGCTGAATTTTCTGATGTGAATATAACACTTCTAGACTCCTTCTTATAAGCACAGCAATACAAGTCCGTTTGCTGTTGATTGTCTTAGGTCCCAGGCTAATGTTCAGCGCGGTAACTACAATATTGCATATGCAGTTTAACCTTTCAGGCAGAGTGATTATTTCCTCTACCCTTACCTTTCTTTTAACTTGCCGTATCTTCGTTAGCCCCATAAAGATTTTTTAATTCATCTCGGAACGTGGGCCAAGTCAGCCTCTAGTTCATCCGATTTTGAATCAAAGTGTGCACTCATTTTCACTTATCTTACCTATAGCCAATTCCGCATCTCTCCACCAGCTGGTGTTCCATTTTACCAAGTAATAACATCATCGCAATCCAGCCTTGTTCGTTAAGATGAAAGTGAGATAGTAATCAGGTCCCAGGTTAGGTAGTTCCTGTATATTAGCAGGTTTGTTCGTGACAATCCATTCTATTAACTATTAACGTGACAGTAACTGCTAATCCGCCAAAGCTTTTGCTGCAGTGCAACATGCCAGGAACAATGCAATCTAGAGCTTTTATGGAGTAAAACTAAACAGTATTAATTCGGGCGCAGCATTGATTTCAGCATGAGGTCATATCCTACCGAGTTCCTAACCAACAGTGTGTTTATGTCCTGAATCATGCCAGCTGTGCCAGACTTGGCTAACTTCCGTAAGCAGGCTGAGTTCCAGGAAGCGGTTCAGAAGAGGATGCAAGCACTGGAACAAGAAGTTTATTGGACTGATGTTTTGGCCTCTCACTCGAACCCATTCTCGGAGACAGTTGCAGATGAAAATAGTGGAGGCACAAAGACTGCAGTATTTATAGTACGTAACTGCCATGGGGCCACATGCGTACTATAATTAACAGCTCTCGCTATCAGCGCTGGGGGTCGGGATTGATGCGATGGTGGCTCGTCAGTCAGCGTCCGAGTCGTTAATTGCCGAAATTTCATCATCCGTGTTGCATGTTGGCATGATGATGGCTCGTCAATTTGGCTCTCAGTCACTGGAATTGTTACTCGCGCGCGCCCTCCCCACGTGTCTGATTCTCATGCACATAGAATGTCTCAGCACCGAATATGGTACCGGGAGGTCTCTGCGTTTGATGATGGATTGTGGGCCTAAGAATCGTGATTCGAGCGGCTCGCGGTTCACGCGGTTGTCAGCTTTTGCGAGGATTTCGGCCCCTTTAAATTTGAAACTATGACCGGGTCCTGTGGAATGAGCTGCTACCTGAGAGCAAACCTCGTTCATCCTCACCGCAGCTCTGTGCTCGGCCATCCGCATCCAAAGTAATTCCCCAGTTTCTCAGAAGTAGTTGCTCTGTCCGCAACTGCACCAGATCCGATAAACGACTCCAGAAGTTTCCTGCCGTGGCAGTGGGTCTTTCGGCCTTATGACCTGACGCCTAATGGTTTCTTCCGGCCTGTCTGCAACCCCAACTCCAAGTGGAGTGAGAAGGCGGCTGACAGCTTCCGAGACGCTCTTCGCGTACAGAAGAGCTCGCCAAAATTAAGGGCCATTTAAATTTGGTCACTTATATTGTTTGCAGATGAACTTGTTGACAAAGTTGCGCAGGTAGTCATTAACTCTCAGTATCCGTCAAGGATATTGTAATTCGACAACCTTGTCGGCCACTTCACTGCAATGTGTCTCAGCGTTCCGGTATAACGCCCTTGCGCAAGTGCGTTTGTGACTGACCGGGTGATTACTGTTGAAGTTTAGTGCTTGCGTCGTACTTGTCGCCTTCGTTAGCACTTTGGATTTTAGGCCATCACAATATTTGCGACAAACGAGGTTATTAGAAAGACCAGCTGGTTGTATTCTTCCTCCTCCATCGCAAATTAGCTGGCCAGGAAGGCAGAGTTGAGACGTTCTTTGAGTGTCAGTACCTGATCCCGTTCGATGACGACGAAGGTATCATCCTCATGCTGAGCCAAAAATTTCTGTCTGTAATATTGGAAGACCGTTATAGGACGGCCTCGTCTGTGTCATGAAATCGGCGAACCCACTGGCGTGACCTTCACCTGCTCGTACTTTGTTCCGTCAAACGTAAAGTACGTCTTGAGACAAACCTTCAGGAGTTGGAATATTTGGGCATGTCCGAAGTGATTCCCCCTTTCATCGTACTTGTCTTGTAGGAGTAGTTCGATGGACGACGATCCTCCGACAAGCCTTTGACTTTCTGAATGTAGTCCGTCCTGTCCAATACGGCAGTGGAGCGTCCCTTTTCCGCAGGTACGATAACGTGGTCACTGTCGGCCCTGAGCTTCTTAAGTGCATCAAGTTCGGCCGTGGCAAGCACGTTGCGCGGCTTATGAGCCATGAGGAGGGAGGACACTTGTTGCCAAATAAGGTTCTTCGTTTTGTCTGTCGCTTTCGTCCGGTGGAGGATTGACACCACCGATGCAAGCATGTTGGCAGGTTTGGCATCGGTTGTTTAAAATGAGGTCTCATGCCTTAACACCTACATTTGTTCCTCAGTCAGTTCATTTGACGACATGTCGTACACCAGTTTGCCGTTCTTGGATGACGTTGGGTTGGGCAGCTTACGAAGTTTGTTGTCTAGTGCGGCCTCGCGTGTTGCTCTCTGTTCGCGGGTTCGTTCGGCAACCCTCCGCTGAAGCAGTTTTTCACCACTCTCACCCATGAACTCGCACCACCTTGCCTTCTCCTGGTCAATCCTTTGACGGTTTTTGCGAAGCCTTGGGTGACAGTTTGGAAGGAGCACTCGGATCATTCGTCTGCCGTGCTGGAATATTGCGCGTCTCACCAGCCCTGTGTTAACCGGGTTCAAGTGAGAATCCAAAACGTCAGGCAAATAAACTTCTTGCTCCCGTGATTACATCTTCTTTCTTAAAATCCCAATTAGTATACTGTCTCTGCTTGAGAACTTGCCTCTAACTTATCTTTTTATCCGTGGTCGCTTAAACAAGCGAACTCGACGGAATGGTTCTTTTCAGGTTTGTCTGTTTGGAAATTCCTGATTTTTCTGATCATTTCTTCAAACTGGGATGCAAGGCCATCCTGTCTGACGATTTAACACGAGTAGGCTGAAAATTTCACCATCAAATGATCCATTTTATCTTACGAACTCTAAACTGTTTTTCGTAAAGTGCAATGAGTGTTCAAAAAATGAACGTATGTTCCTGTCGATTACTCGAAATCTATTAATGGTCATCCGTTGGGAAAACAGAGGCAGTGCGCTACTATGTCAGTCTTTCAGTCCTGCAGTTTCCTCATCGTTGGGAGTTAGTCTTACGTATTTCCACTCAAAGCAGTATTTTTAAGGTTAACCGGAATGTCGCGTTCTGACCACATCCTCTGCTCCCGCCATATATCGTTTGTATTTTTTAAAATAATATCTGTAATGGTTGTATCCTCGCATGGAGGACCAGCCCAAAGTTCAGACACTGGTTTCATTCATTTTCTACAACCGCATAGTGCAACGGCAAGGGTTTTTCTCAGCAGTTCGTCCTCCAGCCTTTTTGTTCTAGTTTTTGGCAGTATTCTACTCATTTATTCTCTGCTTGGTATTTCTTCTAGTTTTTTTCCATGTACTTGGAGTAGTCTGTTCAGGACTTGGCTTTTCGCCTCTGCCCAACTTTGCAAATTCCAATTGGCTAGTCTTCTTCTTGTAGCCTTAAAAATTTGATCATATGGTGCTCTTAACGGGTCATGTCAGCGCCTCTTTGTGCCGTACGGCTCTATGCAACTCTATCTAGCGTCTCCTCGAGTGCTGGATTGCACTGTCTGCCGCAGACGATGCTGTACAAATAACCTGCAGTCGTCCTTGGTGGTGCGGTCGGTTGCTTAAGCAAACTGCTTTCTAGGACTAACTAGTATTTTGGGCCAGCTTTCATATATTGCCAATGCTGAGGAGCGCTTGGTCGCCTCATCACTGTCAAAGTCTTAAGTACACGCTCGAACAGGGGCTCAAATGACAGCTTCTTCCCTAGTCGTTCGAAATGCTCTGTAGATCTGCTTCGGACCGTCTAATCCCGGCAGTAGATTAGTCATCCAGGCAACTGTTACCGACCCGCACCAATTCTCTCGCCGCTTATGTCAGAAAATTGACCTCCTCTTCTTCATCTGACTTTTCCATGATAGAGCGGGAAATGCCACAGGAATGCATTCATCCTTAATGGTCCCCTGATTTAAGTTATAATTTTAAATGAGGCCGCTCCCATCTGCAGCCATCTGCGTAAAGCGTTCAATAGCTCTGCAAACGCGCCTACGGTGTGTCTAGTTTCACTGCTGCTTACTCTTACTTAACTGAAGAAAGCAACCCGAATTTCTTTATATGCAGCGCCACAATGAGGACTTCCATTGTCTCTGCACCTGCGGTTCACCAATTTTCATAAGACCTGTGGTGGAGAGGGACAGTATTGAAGGCGACTCGCATGTGAAATAGACTCTAGGGCAGACTTGCTTAGAATTGACCTCTCTTTCACACTCATCACACCTCCATCATATGACTAAATCAGGACAGCATAAGACAAACTGAGCGCAGTTTCTGACTATTGCCTAGATCTCCGCCTGTGTTCGTGTGTATTTTTCCCAAAAACGGGCAACGCGGTAGATGCGCTGGACCAGCACAGGGGCTAGATCGGAGTCTGACAGGCGTTATCGGGAATGTGCACCCGTAACAAATGCCAACATTGTGAAATCCCCTCCCCTTCCCCACCTTTCAGATTGGCCGGCCGTTGTTTGTCTGCTGTCAGTCATCTGGCCTGTGGAGGGTATCACCACGACTGATAAATGCTGTTCGCAGCTCCCAGACTCGCTTTTTCTACTCAGGCAGAAGCGAAAATGATAAGTTAAAAAGGCTTTCGGCCATCTACTACTGCACTGCATTGGGTGTCTTCATGCTGGGTTTCAGCTATGCGGGCGTCCCTCTCTACCGAATCTACTGTGCGGTGAGTCCTTTTGCGACATTTCTTTTTTTTCAGAGCCGTATGATCTTTTGCAACCATTTTGCTTTTTTGTATGGGGGGGGGTTCTCCGAAAGCAGTGGTAGGAAGTGCCGTCTCATCACAATTAGCGCCTACGTTGTTGCTACTGGTTTCTGCCTTCTTTGCTAATCGGAAAAGTATTTCAGTATATTTTCATTCCTCAAGTACATGGAATTAAATGTACTGCCCAGTAACAGTTTTAAAAGGTCAGAGAATAGATTGCCTAGTGGGCACTGATCGTCAGTGTTATTGGAGCCGCGGACGGATTGACGGTGCTGGGCTCAAAAGCGTTACTGCCAGAGGCAACCGAAACTTAAACAGTCACTTCTGACTTGGTTACTGCTGGTAGTTAGAAATGACCACCCCTGTCTTTGTCGCGAACGCTCACCCATCATTGATTGCCCATCGTCATACGAACCTTTTAAGGCTTCGGTGCTCTAATGTAGCACAGGCGGCAGGATTCGCCCGCTAGTGGAACGGCCTTGAACAAGGCCTAGCTGTCATATGAATCGGTTGTTGGGCCCGACGAATAGGCATCCGGTGGTGTACACGGAAACGATGGAAATGTATCGGTGGAAGAAAATCAGCCGTACTTCCCCTAACTGACCGTCATATCATATCGCTGAAATTCAAGCATCGTGAATAGATCTGGCCCTCCCTCCCCACCACATCTCAGTGATCCGCTTTTTTCCAGACCGAATAACGAAGAAAGGAGGTCGCACATGCTACGACAAAGAACTTGCGAGCCTTTTTAGTCCGATAGCAAATCAGTCCACTCATGACTGGAAAACCCACACTCGAGTGAAGTATGCGCCAACGCAACCGAATCTCAAGTCCTGCATTATCTGCACCAGCCAATACGATGAGGAAGCGCTCTCACCATTGCCTGGTGCCTAGGAGTAATCCGCAAAGCGGAAGCAGACCTCCTGGCAAACGCCAGAAACCCACCGCCAAAAGAAGACACAAATCAGCAATATGCTCTTGCCGGGACGCCTATGCGGAAGAGCCCCGAATAACCACAATACGCCATGGTCGTTTACGAAGGGCCTTTGGAGAACATGGGGCATCAAAAGGGGACGCTAAGAAGACGTTCTAAGAAGCCGACCAAGGGTCCCATGACCGACTCCGGAGTGGCCGCCTTGACGGTGTTATTCGACAGTTCGACCGTCGTTGCCGACGGGGTCCACCGTGTACTCCGCTGTAGGATGAGAGCCGGGACAGTGACCTGCGCATGGCATAGTTTATAGTGGTAGTAGACATGCGCAGCATCCACCGCACTCTCGCCCACTTGGGTCCGGTGTCATAACAGAGTCAAGAAGACTGGAAACGGGAAGTGGTGCTGGTGGCTGGCACCGCGGAGATCCGCGCCTACACGTACCCCCCACCACCTACACTGACCAGGATCTCATACACCAAGAAAAAAGAGGACGGCTTGGATACCAATGAGCGGGGCGCGAGCCTGTACACCCCGAATGTTGGCATTTGTTGTGGTCGTACATTTCCGAGAACACCTGCCGGATTCCGATCTAGTTCCCTTGTTGATCCAGCCTATCTACCGCGTGGTCCGTTTTAGGGGCACAACGATGATATCCAAGCACGCACTCGTAGCGCGGCCCCTACCCCCAACTTTGATGCTGCTCATAACCTCCTAAAGACGCCTATCGCCGGGTAGCTGCACAGAGTTTGAGCGACATTGCCCGACCGCCTAGCGCCTTGTAGTCCATAACGCCCACAAATCAGCCCTTGTCTGCACAACAAGGCGTACTGTTGGCTGCCGGAAAACCATCAACTCCCTATGCTACTGAATCAACCAAAATTTCACCGCACGGACAGTCAATGCCGACCCTCCCACTCATGCGGAGCATGTGGCTCCAACGTGGCTGCAAAGAATGGAGCATTCTGCATATGCGGTGATTGTGAACCCTCCCATCTACCCGTCTGTCACAATTCCGTGGCTGAATCTGCCCCACCTGCTCGTCGTTTCCGTATATGGTTGCCTGCCAAATAACAGCCGCCATGCTACAGATTCATGGCTGAATCCTTAATCGTTCTACCCCCCGTTGCACTCACGAATGCTTCGAGTAAGTGACAGCCAAGCTGCCTAGGAGACCTGCATTCCCGGACAGATGTCTTATGTGTGCCTCTCTGGCCATTCATGATCTTCCTCGGTCCCTGCATCTACTGTGGCGATCTAAAAGACCTCCTCCACCTCGAGCTACACATATTTATGAACTAGCCTAAAACGGAGGGAGAAGAAAAACAACAGAAGTTGAGACAGGGTGGTGTCATTAGGCTTACTTTTCTTCTTGTCATATCCCAGCTTGAATATTGGTATTCGGTCTAAAAAGGCGCCCCGTCCCCATGTCCAATGATTCTATTCAGCCCTAATTGCCAACTGGCGTCGTACCAGAACCCGCTAATGATCTAAATCCACGCATTTGCCTCACACCGAAGCTGACAGTTGACCGTATGTGTCTGACTTTTGCCAGCACTTCTGCTAGCAGTATGGCCGTGTCATTTTCAGTTCCAAATAGAATACCTCTATGCACCACGGTGGGGTTGGACAAATTGGAATACTGGGATTGGACTTCCTTGGCAGCCAGCTAGAAGCCTTGTCGGACACAGCATCGAACTAGCAACAGTAGTCCTGCCTTCGTCTTGCAACTTGTTTCGTATCTGGTCGTTTTGCCTAGCAGCACCTTGATCCATCGTGATCCTTCGTCGAATGTGCCTTTAATTAGGGTGAGGCAAGATGACACCTGTCTTTCTGAGTGCCCGGCCCGTCAGCGTGCGATTAAGTGACCTCCTCACAAGGCCGACGGTAAAGTAAACAGACCTACAGTAGTGAAGGCGACACGATCACTGGGACAAGAGCTTTATTAGCCTGACGTTTCGGATTCCTGCACGAACCCATCATCAGAGGCAGTAGCAGATATGGGTGGTCCATGCACAAGGGGCTGCAGTATTTATAGGATTCAGTCGCCATGCTACCGCATACCTGTGAATATTCACGGCTCCCTCCTCTCATCAAGGATCGTTGCACTTGGTGTCATAATTGCTTGATGGCCGATATTCGCGTCGTCAATTGTTATAATTTCATCTCGGGTGTTGGATGTTGGTGTGATGATTGCTCGACTATCTGACCCACTGTCCCTGGTGTTGAGCACAGTGTTCACATGTGCGCTCTCGGCGTGGCTATTTACTCCTTCTAGGCGAAGTCTCATCACCGAGTATGGAAGGGGAAGGTCATTGCACTTGTTGATGGAATGGGGGTCATTGAACCGTGACTCGAGCAGCTCGTGGCTCACGCGGTTGTCACCTCTAGTGCGAATTTCGGCCTCGTCCCATGAAATGTTGACCGCAACTCTGAAATACGTTTCCAATTCGAAAAGACTACTTCCCACAAAGTGTACCAACCCCTTCTGAGAAATATTTTATGCACAACTCAAAACACAACGTGGGGACTTCGGTATCGTTGGCTGGGTAAGTTCTCCATTAACACCATCACGTAATAGTGCATGAGTTAACGGGTGGTTATGTCCCATATTCATCAGTAGTACGGCTGGACTGTAGCAATATCTTCTGCCTGGGACCTATTTAAAGATATCAGTTCAGTTTTATTGAGGGAAATGTAGGTCTTCACCTTTGAACTCTCTATTTGTTTACAAGCGACTGCAAAATCTCAAAAACTGGAAAAGGTATCATAAAGGTAACAGATAATCGGAAAAGCGTCAGCTCTGTACAGACAAACAAACTGTCTTGAACGTTAGTGTTACGATCAGTTGTACAGCAGTCGTTTCGAGTGCAGAAAAATTAATATACCCGGTGACAAAAGTTGCATAGGTGCATGTCAGTAAGCGTAGGCGATGGGTCGGAGACAATAAGAGATTCAATTTAAAATGTTACTGAAATATAGCAAGTAGTATTATAACAGCGGAATTTTTCAAGGTTTCGGAGGTCGGGTGGTAATTTAGTGGACACTGCTATACAAATCCAGCTTCCTCTTAAAGACCTCGACGGAAGCAGACATAGCGACATCCACATGCAGGGCGTTCCAAGCGTTCAGTGCTTCTGGAGTTTCGATACAGGCTGTGCATTGAGATCCCGCCCATTGACCAGACCTCAGCCCCTGCGACCGTTCGACCTAAATTTGACTGTATAGCTCATTTTTTTATTTTTTTCAGAAAACTGGAGGGGGTATAAATGTTGAGGCTGCAAGGGCGAAATCTGGTCGTGTGGAAAAAATGAAACCCATAAGGGATAGGAAAATTACCGTGGAGTTCTCTGCAGACACGTACTCGCGCATGGCATGGAACTTCAAACCAGCACAGAAGTCGGTGAGTCCACACAGTGTTAAGTCCAGCTTATTTGAGGGGAATTTATGTGTTGCGCCTTTGTACTCCCTATTTTTTTTACTAGGGAGATTTATTATCGAAACTGCACAGATAAACGAATTATTCCAAGTTTTAGGAACACTGGCACTGCTAAGTACATTATACAGTAGTCAGTCTGTGCATAATTATGTTATAGAAAAAGCAGCATGATTTCAGTTATCTGCAGGCACCAAAGTAAATGTTGGTATCCGCGTGTAATGAGTTTGGCCGTCGTACCGTCTAACTTTACTGTCTGCGCGCTTTTTCTCAGATTACCATAGTGCCGGGTGAAACTGCGCTTGCCTTCTATACGGCGAAGAATCCTACTGACCGGCCTATTACGGGTATTGCAACTTACACAATTGTACCTCTGGACGCAGCTAAATACTTCAATAAAATCCAGGTTCGTTGCCTCCGGTGGTGCTGCTTTGACAATCACTCCCCTTTATGATTATTTTATTTCATAAAATGTTCTACTTACAATTTTCTAATAAGCATTACTTTTACTTATGTCTTACCCCGAACTCGCTCATAGCTCTTCGTTTCTTTCCCTTTAGTGTTTCTGCTTTGAAGAGCAGCGACTCAACCCAAACGAAGAGGTTTGTTCTGCCATTTATTGGCTTCGTGCCAGTTATTTTCTTTATTGGTTCAGTTCGACATAATGAAGGCCAGTTTGTAGTACTTTTTGCATGAACTTGACTGGGAACTGCGGTGGTAATTTAAAACATTTTCGTGCTTACACTTTAAGATGCCGCTAAAAGTGGTCAGTCTGTTGAATACACCTTTAATCACTATTTATGCGCGACATTCTGCCATTCCTTGTCTTTTTTCGGACGTTCTCGGAGTTGATCTGTTTCATATACGACGCACATTGCTTGCTCCAGAGATTATTAAATAAGGCGTGAGGTGGTCGACAACCGATAGAACTTGGACTTAACCCCTTGGTTAGCGTGCCCCTCATGAATCACCCACCATTTCAGGTCGACCTGCCCGTCTTCTTTTTCCTGGACCCAGAGTTTGACGATGATCCCCGCCTCATGCGCACCACGAACATCGTCCTCCACTATACCTTCTTCGAGGCAAAGAAGGAGAAATTGATGATACCGGGAATTTCTACGCCTATTATTGAGGAACCCAGCATCCCTCAATCGCTGCCTGCGAGTACATGACCTGTTCTCCCAATAACTGCTACTTCTGAGGACATTGTTTGAATATTTTTATGTCTTGACAATGCTGTACTTGTCGCTTTTGCTGTTTTTTTCTCTCTCTCTCTTTTTAAACCAAAATGGGACCTGATCGACTTCCAATTTTGGGGCGTTTGTAGCTAACATGCACGGGACTCCGGGCTTGGAAGCCGATGATACTGTTGCTGAGTCGCTGTCATGCAGCCAACTTTGAGTATGAAGTACGCTATGAATTTAGCCCTCATTCACCGCACTAGGGGCACAACGGAAGTTAAACATCGACTTGGGGCTCCGAAGGGAACAGGGGCGGCACTACAATCTCACAAAAACGCCAATAATCGGCCGTTTAGTGAAAAATAATGAACCAACATGTCATTTACTAGCCCAGCCCTGAGGGCAGGCGAGATTGTTATGCGGTAACTCCGCATCTTACTTGTACTTGATACGGCTGCGATCATGCCTGATCTAGCCGGCCTCGATGATGTCACGAACTGTACCTCTCCACGCGTGACGATCCGCGGCAGCAGATCTGGACAGCTCAACCCATTCCTTTCGCCAACGACGTAGAACGAATACCGAAGGTCCAAGAACCACCTCCATGTTTTGACGAACTGTGTCGAGCCAGGTTTTGGACTGACCTCTTCGACGCCTCCAATGGGGTAGCGGTGGCGGATCGAGGGCAGTGACGGTGAGCTCCTGAGGTGGACGACGAAGAACATGCCCGAACCACCTCAGTCGTCTTTCTTGGATGGTCTGAGTTATCCTTGCGATGTTGTCGCAGCGAGCGCGGACTGTCTCATTTGAGACAAAGTCGATGTACTTCACTTGAAGGATGGTCCTCAAGCAGTGGTGGTCAAATACCTCCATTTTTCGCTCGTCCTCCATGCGCAAAGCCCAGCATTCACAACCGTAGAGAAGGACAGATGCACAGTACACGCGAATCTTGATGGCGATGGAGAGGTCACGTCGGATCCATAGGCATTTCCGAAGGCTTGAAAAAACCCAGCGGGCAGCATCGATTCGGGAGACGATGTCGTCCTTACTCTGTCCATTAGGCACCAGCCTCGCCCCGAGCTATTTAAAACTGTCTACTTCTTCAAGTTGACAGCCATCAATCCCGAGGGGTGCCTTCTCCTGGTCAGGGCTGCGGCTTGAGAACGCTTTAGTCTTCGCAGCGTTTATGGACAAGCCGACCGATTTAACGACCTCGTTCACCCGTGACAGCATAGATTGCAGATCACCAAAACTTGAAGCAATTAAGGCGATATCATCGGCATAGTCGAGATCAGTTAGCCGGTGTCCGGGTGCAACATCAACACCGTCACCCTCGCGTAGGGCATAATTTGAGGAAATGGCCCTTACGTTGTAAATGCGCTAGACCAGAGCGGGGTTCACCAGCTGACGGGGTGTATCAGTCCGCCTCTTAGGACTGAGGGTCTGGCTGTGGCCTTGATAGCATTCTCACCTATAATCAGTGACCGATCTCGTGGGATGTTAACCGGAATTCTGAACTTTGTTTACATTAGAAAGGATTCCATGAGTGGCGTTCTAATGTAAAGTATCATGTGGCTTAACCCCATGACATGTCGGACTCGCCAGGATGTTGGCTTTTGAAAGCACTCCCTTTCGACCTAGTGTAAAAATAGCACTCGGTAAAAAATGACTGTTAGTGGGCATTTCAGAACTGACCTCCAACGCTCTCATAAATTTGAGTGTATATTTTAGAAAGCATTCACAAAAATATTCTTCATTGTACTCGCTATGAACTCCGCCTTTTTCAAACTTTATGCCCAAAGAAAGAACTTTTGGTTTTGAAGAAAAGTTTCTAATTATGAGGTTTTTAGGACCGTACAATGTCAATTAATACAACATTGTATCTGTGCGTTTATTAGTACTCCTCAAGAAATATGTAACATAGTACGCACCCACTACAAAATTTTATGAGCTATGGTTTCTTAAAAGTATAGGGCAATGTGTGATTTTCCTTACTCGGGAAGTACACGTGTACACTGAAATTGCTAAACGCTAATCCAGCGGCTGGTCTGGCTCGAAATTATTCGGGAATTGGAGAACTTTTAGGACCGAAATATACCCTTTCTTTGTGCAAAAGTGTGAAGACGCCGTGATTTGCTACCAAATGGATACAAGAAAGAACATTTTTCTGCAAAATATGTTTGAATTTCTGGGAACATTGAAAATCAACTTGGAGAATTCTTGTTGCTCAAGCAGTCATTTTTTCTATCGAGGACGGTTTTTACCGGCCGCCGAAAAGCTAACATCCTGGCGAGTCCGAAATATTATGAGATTATGCCGCGTGATAATTAATATTACAACTCCACGTAAGTTGTCCTTTCTAGTCGAAGACGCATTTCAGAATTTCGGGTAACATTTCATGAGATCAGTCACTGACTGTACACATGTGAGATCCCAGCCATCCTCACTGCAGCGTGGTAGATGCTGTGGGAACCAGTTTGCATGGGGCATGCGTGAACGGACTGTTTGGTTTTGCCATCCGTTACGTCCACCGACGTGCTGCTGCCGGAGCAGTATGAGTGAGGGAGGAGAGAGTGCGGTGATCGCTGCGCAAGTCTGCCTCGCTATAAATAAATTCTGTGTGCGCTAAGTGGGGCAGGAGGAGGGCATCATCGTTGTTCGCGACGCTCGAGCTTTTTTGTGCGTTTGTAGGAGTTCAGCTCAAATGCTCATATAAACCTCGAAGACACACCTGAAGTGTCTTGATCCAAAGTTTGCACGCTAATTAAATAAATATATGACCTTGGAGGCTTGTGTTTCCGATGTCCGACGATGACAGACGAAACCCAGGTATTTCCTTGTTCAGGATCTCGGTTCATAGTTCGGTGTTGAGGGCCAAAGTCCAGTAGCCTGGCTGAGAGACATATCCGACTTGTGCCGTTTTCGAGCTTACATGTCTAGATTAATGCCTAAAAAGAAATTCCACCCGAATAAAGCGTTTTAAAGGCGTAGCTGATGTCGGTTATGCGAGCATAGGCAATGTGGAGGATTAAGAAGTTTTTTTGCGGTTTACTCCAAGCCGCTTATTCACTGAGGTGGGTATCCTTTGCAACTCCAGATTTAACTAATATTATGTTGCTACTCATTCGAAGGAAGTAGTATGTTACTTCGGGGTGATTCTTCCGTTATTGTTTTTCGGGGTCGTCCGCGACCGATTCTTCCGGTGTCATGTTACACTTGAAAAGTCTAGTTTGCAAACACGTGTTTTTGGTAATTGACTCGGTGTACTTGAATTTTTCGAGTTTGCAGACCTGGGTATTCAATGCAGGATCGTAAGTTTATAAACTGACACACCCTGCAGACTTCAGGTGCTTCGATCCCTTCCCTAGCCGGTTCAATACAAAACGGGGAACTACGCTTTTGCCGATTGAACAAAGAGCCCCTAAACCCTTGTGGGCTAGTGTTTTCCGGTGGGCTTGAACGTCACAACTCTCAGTCTCTCGGAGTTGTTAAAAGCTTCGAGGGGAAATTTCTTGGCAATGACCTTAATGCTGGGATTCCACTTGAAGTACAATGTTATCCGATTTCCACTGCACTGGTTACGTACGAAAGTTGGGGAGATCGTTTTGGGTTTTTTGGCTCGCGTATGACTAGAAGTTTATGTTAACGTTCCGAATCTTTTAAGGAGTTGAAGGACCCGTAGACGATCTTTCATGCTAATATTATACTTTGCACTCAGGGTTTATTTCAACTTCTTCGGGTAACGCATCGACTCCATCCAAACGTTTCCTGAATTCATGATTTTCTCCACGGGATGATAACCGAGACCCGTTTGTTCGATCTGAGGATTCTCTGGGCATAGAGTAAGGCCTGATGCCTCCAGGATTCCCGTCAAAATTTAAATAACTGTTTGCTCTTTTACAATTTACACATGAGTGTTAAGCTGAAAATATCCGAGTTAGAAGTACTTTGTCCCCCTAAATTGCATGGAGTAAATATCGGCGTTTAAATGTATTGATGATATTTGCATGAGAAAGATGATTGTCCTCGAACTACTGGTGGGCATGAAAGTCAAAACAAATGAAAGCGAAAGTCTTTCCAATCGTTTCTATTTCCTGCACCTAGTTTAAATTAACAAAAAAATATTTAACAGTAGAGTTGTTCTATCCATAATGAGGCTACCAGTCTCAAGTGCAAATAAAACATCTTTGGACGCTCTTCTTAAAGCACCCGTATCTGCATGGTTGATTGTATCTGGGTTATCCAGCTGTTTCTTTTGCACACCGCTAACCCGCATTTTTGTCGTGGACATTCGCCAATGGTTGGTCAATTTACTCGGACAGGGGAAGCGAATACGAGTATGTGCGACATTATCAGCCAATCAAAAAACGCGCGCATCTGCCGAGCCACCTGTGCGCGATAACGCTGGTCGCGGTAGATCGGCTGTTAATTTCACTGCCCTTCCTCATGTGAGAATATTTTTGGAACGCGCAAAATGGGGGAGGAGATCGCAATCAAGGCTAGGGGTTGGCACCACAGGTACCGTTACTTTGCTGCTGTTGAAGATGAGGTTGCCCTGTGGTGGAGGCCAGTGTTGCTTGGTTTTCTGGCAGGCGTCTTAACAATTAACCTACAACGCATGACACATTTTGACACCTGGCGAATTTGTATGTTGACGTCGCACTTTGTCAAGCGATGGGAATAAACACATGTCGCGCGATTTGCCATACTGACGGCACAAGTAGTAGCTAAGAGCTCTGACACGTGTTTCACCGATATTCTGCCGCTGTAGGACACAGTTTCGAGGGGTTCGGCTTATTAGCAAGTCCTCCAACGTTTGCCGTTGCTGTCTAGCACCTACTCTAATTCCATCCCGAATGACAAGCTTCTGTGGAATTTAAAAAGTCGAGATATTAACACAATTTTAGACCTTTTGATCGTTCAATTTTAAAAGACGGAAACTGGATGTTTATTTGTTTAAAAGAGCTCACCCTGAACTTTGGTTGTTATACTCTGTGCAAATGATAACGGGTCGATCATCTCAAAACGCGCTTATTTTATAGTACACGGAGATGGATAATAAGCTTTTCTTAAGTAAACTCGATATTGCTATCATGTAATATTGAGTATTTCCGATAATAACCGACACAGTGAGAGTCCACACCCTAACAGGTAAAGGCGTCGTCAGTCAGCCTTACCAAAACCCTAGCTGTGATTGCTCAAGGTTTGAATCAGGGATCACCTATTTTTGAACAAAACACTGAATCTTGAGGCGATTGATCATACATTGTCGGCTTCGATCGATAATCTTTACCGCCACATAGGAGCGACGTCCACTAATACCTTCTGACCGCAGGATGGAACAAGGACGGTGGATCTCTACTGCGAAAGAGAGCGACTGTATTCCGTTTTGCTAGTTAATCAGGTCTATGAGAGGCGATGAAGTGAGACATTCAGGTTCTTGCATGTCCACAAATTGAAAATTTGTGGACATTAATATTTTATTGGACGTCCAAAATTTAGGCTAACAAGCCACTGCACGTTCTAAACTTAAAAAGTCATGGCGTCTTATGGCCGTTTCTAAGACAGACTTAAAAATACAACATTTGCAAGGGTTTTATATCTAGCCCAAATGAGAACCACGCTTTTCCCCAGAAGTGTTTCTTACGGCGAAAGGTCTGACGATGGCTAGTAAACCAGAAATAGCAATCCCAGTCTTTCTCGTCCATGTCTTCTTCCTGCGAAATTATTACCGTCAAGTAGAGGGCTGGCTGAATCGACGTCTTCGTATGCCGCCTCTCGTCCGGGTTAGATCGGCGGCGCCATTCCCGCATAAGCATTGGTGTTTTCAGTCACCATCGACAGGATGCGAGTCAATAGCTCAGTTGGTAGGACCGCGGAACTAATAAATA